TTACGATTATCGTAATGTAATTTCGATTTTTTTTTTTTTTTTTAGTTTAAATAATGCAGTTACGTAATATATTTTCGTGAATTCCATTTATCAAGTCGTACATAGATAATGAAAAAAAGAAGTATCGTTCCATCTAGAGATCGAAATTGGACTTTGCAATCTCGTCCACAACTTTCGTTTCCTACGCAAATCCATCGAATCGAATAGAATAGAAAAATCGTCCAACCAATTAGTCGTCCACCCGTCAAAGTAAAAATCCCGAAAGATTTCTCTTCCTTCCTCGAACTTCCTGTCACGACGATAAATTTGAAAAAAAAAGAAAAAAAAGAGAAGGGAAAGATGACACGAAGGCAGAAGGCTTCCGGTTTCACAGAAAAGTTACAAGCTACCGAGCGCGAAGAAGACGAATCACGGCTGCTTTGCATGCGATGCATCGATACCAGGCATCCAGGCGAAGGAAATAACTCGGAGTGTGTACGACGTCGATAAAGGTTCCGTGGCGGGAATGTTAATGGGTTAGAAATATGCCCACTCTGCTGCTCTTCGAATTGTCAGGACAAATCGTTAGGGCGGGAAGAGAAAAAGAAGGAAAGGCGGCAGGTGTCCGTTTCCCTCTTCTCGCCGGAGAAACTTTGATCGTTCAAGGTTTCGTTTCGTGAATCGAATTTCGCATATATGCGAAAAATGAATTGTCGTATTTAGATTTCACGCTCGTGTTTCATGTCCAATCAGATTTATATATATAAGTTAAAGAGAGTTATAATTTTCGATTTCGAATTTTAATTAGAGAACGATAAGGAAATTGAAACGATAGGAAAAGATTATGAGAGAGAATTTATTTCTTCGATTTTTCTATAATTTCGTTTCTCTCTCGTGTGTATAATAAGACGAAAATGGGAACGTATAAAATATGAATATTCGATTGTTTGCCGTCGTATATACAGATAATATATCATTTTAACGTATCAAAGGTATATAACGGAGATTAACAACTAATACGGTCCGTGATCAGATAAATCGAAAATTTTTTTGTAGTAAGTAAAATTCGTTTACCTTGCCTTGTCGATATTGCTCGACAGAAATCTTCGATCAAAACTCGTTGCCACCCGAATTGCTTAAGTAATTCTTTATCTTTCCGTGAACACGATATCACAACTATTATTCAAACGAAAACACGGAACATTCTCCATATCGGAGATAAAAAAAAAAAGAAGAAGAAGAAGAAAGAAGGGAGGGAGGGAGAAGGAAAAAGAAATGGTAGAAAGAAAAATGAGAAGTAATCGCGATGCAACGATTTTCCAGTCGATCGGTCCCTCCTTTGTATTGACTTTCCCCGATCGGGGATGCGCCCGAATAAAACCGAGAAGGAGAATTCCGTTCGATTCCTCCGCGCCGCCCATTATTACAGCCTTTTGGGTCCAATAACTCTTCCACTCTCACTTGTTGCTCTGCCCTTCCATTCCCTTTTCCTCCCCTTTCCCCGATTTTTCACCGTCGAACGAGCGAAACGATCGAAGATCGATCGATCGAGTCCTCCGATCGAACGAATCAGAGCCTTTTTATTTTAATTTCGAAAGTTTCACGACGATACAAGCGAGTAATCTCGCGATTCTCCTGTTTTTCTCGTTTCGGACGGACGTGGGAAAAGTTTTTGGCGCGGGGGATCGATGTTGAACGGGAGTGGAAAAATATTCGAGAGAGAGAAGTTTGGATTACGCGATTATTTTTCTACTTTTTGTATATCTTGTGTGGTTGGATTCGAATTGTTCGAATGAACTGTGCGTTTGGATACATTGTCATGGAACAAGCTATAACTTGTAGCGAAAAATAATTGTAAATAATCTCTTTACGTGAAGCGATGGTTCATACGAATCGAAATGATGAAAACCGGTGTTCACGTTCTTGGATAAATAGGGATATTCAAGAAATCTGTATCTGAGAGGGATGTCACGATTGACCGATGAAATATTCAAGAAAGTGGTGCAAGTAGGCCGGAAGATCGGCCGGGAGAATGAATTTTTCAATGGGTCGATCAGGTTCATCCACGATACCCGGCCTCTCCCGATATCGGTATCCGGACCATCCATACAAATCGGATCTCGCCAAATTGCCGTACAATTTCCACGAACGTGGCCCCGATCTCGCGTGGAAAATCTAGGCCAGAGAACGAGGAAAAAAAAGAAAGAAAGAAAGAAAAAAAAGAAGAAGCGGAAGACGCTTCTAGACACACACAGGTTGGATGATGAAGCGAATCAAGTAACAGTGGTGGGTGTTACGTGCGATGCAACCCTAAATCCAGCGAGAGGAGTTTCCTGGAAACGCGTTAGCAACGAAACGAAACTGTCTGTGCCTCGAATTTTCAAGCGTGGCCGAATTATATCCCTGTCACGGAATCAATAGCGTAGAGAAAATACGTAACCGATGACGGGGACGAGGTAAAGAAGGAGCGGAGGCAAAGGGGGCGATATTGTTACGCGTCTTCCGCCACTCGTGGGAATTTTAATTCTCGAGGGTAGAAGGGTGAACTGGCGAGTTTAGAGATGACGGACGGATACGTTTTGCATTTCAACGATTGGAAACGATTTGGAGCGAAAAGAGAGGGGTAAATTTTGATTGAATGAAACAGGAGAGAGTAAAAGTTTATTTAAAAATGCTAGATTATTAAAAAGGATAAGTTAATTACAAAATTTTGTTAGATTACGTTAAAGCTTGGAGGAGAACGTCGATTCGGTTGTTATCCTATCTTATTCCTCATATTTAATCATCGATATATTACCGAGCTAATATACAAAGCTAATTTCCAATTAATTTATATCTCTCATCGATCAAAATCTCATCAGAATCGAGATCGGATCCATTTCCACCACAATCGATTATTTTCAGACTTTTCGCCGGATTTGTGTCGTGGAAAGCTTGATTCCACGCTATTTGAATCAGAGTTTATCGATTTGTTTGATTCGGTACTTGTTTCTTCGCTGCTCGATTCAGAGTTGGTTGTCGTCTCTGGTTCGGTGCTCGACGGTGTGCTGCTCCCTTCAGAGGTGGTTGTCGTGTCTGGTTGGGGGCTCGACGGTGTGCTGCTCCCTTCAGAGGTGGTTGTCGTGTCTGGTTGGGGGCTCGACGGTGTGCTGCTCCCTTCAGAGGTGGTTGTCGTGTCTGGTTGGGGGCTCGACGGTGTGCTGCTCCCTTCAGAGGTGGTTGTCGTGTCTGGTTGGGGGCTCGACGGTGTGCTGCTCCCTTCAGAGGTGGTTGTCGTGTCTGGTTGGGGGCTCGACGGTGTGCTGCTCCCTTCAGAGGTGGTTGTCGTGTCTGGTTGGGGGCTCGACGGTGTGCTGCTCCCTTCAGAGGTGGTTGTCGTGTCTGGTTGGGGGCTCGACGGTGTGCTGCTCCCTTCAGAGGTGGTTGTCGTGTCTGGTTGGGGGCTCGACGGTGTGCTGCTCCCTTCAGAGGTGGTTGTCGTGTCTGGTTGGGGGCTCGACGGTGTGCTGCTCCCTTCAGAGGTGGTTGTCGTGTCTGGTTGGGGGCTCGACGGTGTGCTGCTCCCTTCAGAGGTGGTTGTCGTGTCTGGTTGGGGGCTCGACGGTGTGCTGCTCCCTTCAGAGGTGGTTGTCGTGTCTGGTTGGGGGCTCGACGGTGTGCTGCTCCCTTCAGAGGTGGTTGTCGTGTCTGGTTGGGGGCTCGACGGTGTGCTGCTCCCTTCAGAGGTGGTTGTCGTGTCTGGTTGGGGGCTCGACGGTGTGCTGCTCCCTTCAGAGGTGGTTGTCGTGTCTGGTTGGGGGCTCGACGGTGTGCTGCTCCCTTCAGAGGTGGTTGTCGTGTCTGGTTGGGGGCTCGACGGTGTGCTGCTCCCTTCAGAGGTGGTTGTCGTGTCTGGTTGGGGGCTCGACGGTGTGCTGCTCCCTTCAGAGGTGGTTGTCGTGTCTGGTTGGGGGCTCGACGGTGTGCTGCTCCCTTCAGAGGTGGTTGTCGTGTCTGGTTGGGGGCTCGACGGTGTGCTGCTCCCTTCAGAGGTGGTTGTCGTGTCTGGTTGGGGGCTCGACGGTGTGCTGCTCCCTTCAGAGGTGGTTGTCGTGTCTGGTTGGGGGCTCGACGGTGTGCTGCTCCCTTCAGAGGTGGTTGTCGTGTCTGGTTGGGGGCTCGACGGTGTGCTGCTCCCTTCAGAGGTGGTTGTCGTGTCTGGTTGGGGGCTCGACGGTGTGCTGCTCCCTTCAGAGGTGGTTGTCGTGTCTGGTTGGGGGCTCGACGGTGTGCTGCTCCCTTCAGAGGTGGTTGTCGTGTCTGGTTGGGGGCTCGACGGTGTGCTGCTCCCTTCAGAGGTGGTTGTCGTGTCTGGTTGGGGGCTCGACGGTGTGCTGCTCCCTTCAGAGGTGGTTGTCGTGTCTGGTTGGGGGCTCGACGGTGTGCTGCTCCCTTCAGAGGTGGTTGTCGTGTCTGGTTGGGGGCTCGACGGTGTGCTGCTCCCTTCAGAGGTGGTTGTCGTGTCTGGTTGGGGGCTCGACGGTGTGCTGCTCCCTTCAGAGGTGGTTGTCGTGTCTGGTTGGGCGCTCGACGGCGTGCTGCTCCATTCAGAGCTGGTTGTCGTCTCTGGTTTGGTGTTCGTTGATTGTTCGGTGCTCGACGGTGTGCTGCTCGGTTCAGGGCTCGTTGGTGGTTGTTTAGTTGTGGTGCTTGGTGTGGTGGTTTCGGGTAATTTGGGAACAGCGTATACGACAACCTTTATGAATATGCCCCAACTAGGCAATCCGACCCCGAGTACGACGATCGATGAGGTGCCAATGTTACCTTTAATAGGTACTATGTTCACCACCTTTGGATTCAAGTTTACTACGCTGAAGTATGAGATTATGTGATCTGGTGGCGCGGTTGCACCGATAGTAACGGTGTGACTCATGCCTGGTATCGATGGCTGGAATTGAAAGAAAGAAAGAAAGAAAAAAAAACACATATATAAAATATTAGACCTTGGAAAATATTTTTATCGTTATTCGTTTCCTCAAATTCTTATCTATATCTGTAGTCGATGAATTATCGAATTAGAAAAACTAAGATCTCACCTTGAAGATGGTTCGATTCTGGAGGATTAGCTCGCCGGGCAAATGTTTGCCAAGAATCAGATTGTTACCCCATACGCAGGCGATGAGAGACAGGGAAGCGAGCAGAAAAACGTAGGCGCGCATCTTGATATAAATATTCTATTCTATTCTCTCGATAATAATATTGCCGTGGTGACGTCTCAAATGTGTCATGCAACTTGCTCCCGACACTTTATATATAGCTTTCTCTTATCAACAGCCAAACACAATTCCTCGAAGATTGACCGATTACGTTATAACTCGTAGATGACTATCATCAGAGTAATGACAACGACTTATGTAACTTGTGATATTTGCCTTTCGTTTTCGTCATTTGTAGTCCATTAATTAAGTCGTTGACTAATATTTCCTTCTTAGATATTCGTCACGTATTTATTCTTTGCTCTAAGCTACTACTGTTTGAACCCATATTATATACGTAATTTCCATACCGAGTGATACGATAATGATACAGATATAAGAAAATATATAGTTAAAAATGCAAAAGGAAAAAGAAGGAAACGATCGAGATGGATCTCCGTTTAATTGTCAAAACAATTTGTTTAAATTTCTCTAATACCCTAATCGATTATTAACATTATTATTATTAACATTAAGAAAATGGAAATCCATCTAAGGAATTATCTAAGGAATGAGGAAGAATTTATTTCATATGATCATCACGGAAATCATAACTTCCGGGTTTATATCTTTCGAGATTTTTTTCTCTTTGAGACAACATAACGTGTCATCATCTCAACCGTTCATTGTCAACTCTCGTTTGATAAATCAAAATACACGTTATTACAAATTAAAAGAGCTTTGGAGGTTCCGATGATAACACGGCTACGGATATTATTAATCGTCTAAAATTATCGACTAAAATTATCGAGAAAAAGAAGAGATTAATAACACGGTGAAAAATAAGTATATATATATACACGTAGTTGGAATACTTTGCAAGCTTCATGAAATATAATGCACGAACAAAAATAATCTGATCACGATCGATTATCGATACGATGGTAATAAAACGATGCACATTACTTATCTTTTTATCATAACTAATGCCTGTTAATGCCTGATAATCAATCTTTGCATTGTACTATGATCTCTGACGAGATTCTATCATCGAAATATCGATTTATCACGCGCGATTCACCGAAAGAAAATTTATAAGATTTCTTTATATCACGACCAAAGACGAAAATAATTAAATAACTCTATGATCAATAACGATTTTTTCAACAACGATTTCACATTCGAGAATTATCGTTATCATCGTCCGTTTCAAAACAGATTTTTATTATATAACAGATTATATGATAATTTTCAATTACGATAATTCGAAATCACCGGATGAAAACCATTATCGAGTCGAGAAATTTATCGATCGTGGAGACATCGTTTTTTTTTTTTTCCCTTTTTTTTTCGAGGATCCGATTCTATCCGAGCTTCCTTAAAATTCAACCCCTAATCCTGGGCTTAGAATTTGTATTCACCTCGTATCCCGGAGAAAACAGCGGACGATCGGCGGCCGTGTTTCGCTGATCTTTTTCAACGGTTAACTAATTTAAGACTCTCCATCCCCTTAACTTGAGCATTAATTCATGGGATGCGTGTCGCGAATACACGGGACCGAATTTTGAAACTTGTTGGAAGCTTCACGAAAAAACTTTCGTTAAGGAATAATACAATCGAAAAGATTCCAAATAACAGATAGCGAGGATTGCTCTATTATCACCAAAGTGATGCAACAATCGATAATCACGATTAATTTTCGTTCGCGATAGACTATCTTCTTCGTTTCCTTACAATTAAAAGCGATTATATTTCTTCTACCATTCTTTCCTTACGTTCTCGTATATAATAATTCAATACAATTTTCTCCCCGCTCCAAATAAAAATAAGGCGAGATTCAAAGGATTAAACGAAACTTGAAAAGAAGAAAAAAAACTGTGCATATATACCTATACCCCGCTATTCAAAATTTTGTCGTCGATTAATCGTGCGCAAAAATCTTTTTAATACCACGTAACTTTCGCCCCTCTCGCCATCCACCACGGAAGAATAATTGAAAAGGATAAAAAACAAAGAGAGAGAGAAAGAGAGAAAGAGAGAGAAGGAAAAAGATGAAGGCGGACCTGTCCCCGTAAATCTTCCTCGCGAGGACATTAAGATCGCTGACATTTCGGCTCGCTGAAAACGTACGTGTAACCGATGTAGCTAGCCCCGCGTACACGCATCCGCGTTATTACGGGTGTACACACGGGCTCAAAGCGGGCTCCTGGCTTGCATAAATCTCTGGAGAAATTAAAGTGCACCGCTCTACAAAACGGAATTGTGCACCCGTATGAATGAAAAATAATTTGTATACGCCTGCACCATCGTATTTCCCGCCGTTACGAGGCTGCTGGTGTTTCCTCTATCTCTCTAGTAATCGGTTTTCCCGTTTTACTTGTTGCCCGATATGTGAGAGGCTCTGTTGTCTCGCGTCGAACGAGAGACAGAGGCAATTTCGGAGATACCGTGGAGAATGAAAGAAATAAATAAATATGAAGGTAGAATATTTATCAGTTTTTATTTCATATTTCGTTTATTTATTTATTTTTTTTTTTTTGTTGGTTGAATATCATTTCGAAAGAGTAGACTCTTAAAGTTTGAATGTGTAGTTTCTCGTAATGATACGAGATAGAGAAAAATTTTAAAATATGAAATATTCAGGTTTTTTATATGTGGTCTGTTGTAAAAAATTTTTTTCGAGCGAAATCACAAAATATGAAAAAAAAAAAAAAAAGAAAATGATAAAAATTCGAGGGTTGAGAAATTTTCTCTGGACAATAAAAAAAAGAATAAATGGCTTTACGTGTAATATAATATTTTACGTGTACGCGACTTTTCATTTCTTTTTTTTTTTTTTAATAGGTGATTTCTTGAAGATAACGAGTATAAAGATTTATTGATCACACATATTGACGTATCGACAATTTATAGTTTATCACGTTCGAGTATTTAACTTGGAGGACGTACCGAGATCTCGTATCTTATTAAGAGATAAAGAAAAATTAAATATGTTGTTTGTTTAATTATTGCTACTAAAATTGCCGATCTATGAAAGTCATTCTGATATTTTTTTCAAAATGCCTGATTAATATATCGAGTTAGCGAGATTCGAATGACACGGGTTCCAGAAGATCATTTAACGAGGAACGTGGTTGATGAAGGTCTTCGGTACATTTGCATAAAAGCCTCGTCAAATTCCATCAACCCCCGTCAAGATGTTCGTGGATTAGGGTGAGACGAGACAGACTTTTGCGAAACTTTTCTCTCCGTTTGAGTGAAATCCAACGGGCAATCCAATAAAGATGACTCTCTCACTTTTGCCAAGTCTAATATAAAAAAACAAAAATCAAAATTAGAAATCGTATTTATAAAATGACGCGATAACAATTATCTTTCGAGTGTCTATCTTATAATTATAAATGTATTTTTAAAATACGAGTTAAAAAAAAAAAAAAGAAAAGAAAATGAAACGAAAAATTTCCAAAATTTCGCCTTAGCAGTGATCAGTTATCGAAGAAATTATCGAAGATATTTTTAAATCGGCTCGGTTCCAACAATTCCAGCGAGCGAGCAGGTCAGGTACTCGATTATCGACTTGCTTATCGGCCACACAGTTCCCTAAGGTTATGCCTTAACCACTCTCGAACCGTGATCAATCTGATTAGCATTGCACGTGTCCGTGTAATGGTAAGCTTGGCCGTGGAATTGCGCGTTTGACTTTCATCCTCGTACGGGAAAATGGTGAAACGCGAAAGGGTTGCACGTTTTCCCCGGTTATTTTGCGCCTGTTTCTCATTACGCCGGAACGCATTAATCCGACGGGTTTCCGGCTGACGGCTATTAAAAAAATCTTGCCCTGTGTATCGCGCTTATACACGGTGGCGCGATAAATTCGCCCATTCCCCCTTCTCGAGATACGAAAAAAAATTCTATTTGCATGAACTGTAGGGGAAAATTAGAGGAACGCGAGATATTAAGAGAATCAAATATTTTGTATTCTTAAAATCCGTATATGGCTCGGGAATAATAATAATTTCCGCGATTTTTATCGTGCAATTTCAAAATTATTATTTTCGTGGATCGATGATTTCTTTTCCTTACGAAAGGCTTGGAAATGAAACGTTTTATTGAAAATCTTTTTTTTTTTTTTTAACGATGACATTCGAATCATCTTTTCTCTTTCTTTCTCTCTATCGTATTATTTCTCTTTTTCCCATCCGTGGCACGATACGATAGTAGGCGTTTAGGCAACCCCGTATATAATCCACGCGTGTGCACGCACGCTCGTACCGGTAATTACTCACGTCACGTGGCGACATGGCCCGTTGCGCTTTTTCGTTTTGGCCGTGAGCGGCCGCCCCGCCGGGGGCGTGAAGAGCTGACAGAACACGTAGGAACATTGTAAACCAGCTTAGAGTGGATAATATCGGTCAGCGGTTTTTTATGACCGTCAGACCGGAGGAAAGTGAAAAACGGAGAGGGATCCCGGTGAACACGGCCGGAGGGTGTGATGCTCCACCACACGTGTGCATACATGAAATTTTCACCACCGGTGATATTTACGAGTCGTTGGACCGTCGAGGAATTCTTTCCTCCCCAAAAAAAAAATCCGCCATCATAATAAACGATCATCGATCATCGCGATTTCTTTTTCTTTTTTTTTGTTCTTGCACGTCGTCTATTTCATTTCATTTTATTTTATTTCCCTTGTGAAATTCTTTCGAATTCGAAATTGTTTACAACGATTCGAATCTTTGATCGAGAACTCGATTTAGAATCTCTTTTTTAGGTTTAATTTTGAAGCATTCATGATTATTCATACTGATTATTCAATTGATAATAATATGGATCGAAAGTATACAGTGACAAAAACAAAAACTCTTTACGAAATTATATTAAAACGGTATCGAAATTTCAAAGATTGGTTTCACTTTTCCGAAATGTATTTATAATTTTAAAGCAACAATTATTCTACTCGTCTCCAAATAACTTATTAATCGAACTTTTGTAAAATACAAGAACTCGTACGATAGTCTGATATCATCGAATATCTAATTCTGTCACCTTTGATCCGATACGTCTCCCTCCTCTCCTCTTCCAATGACGTCGATACGAAAGAGCTCGTTCGTCATCATTACCAACCGTTGAGCCGTTGGTAATTAAAAAAACTCTCGTCCCGCGCGACGAACGAGCGACTGATTTTTCTCCCCGAAAGAAGATGGATCGGGGATCTC